TTTCCAGTTTCATAGCCTTATTCCAGATGTCCTCTTTGCTTGCATCCTCAAAGGTTTGAGGATCTTCTGTTGTAGCAGCCATTGCCAACCATTCTGATTGCACTTCTTCCACACTGTTGCAATCATAAATGGCCAGATGACTTGGAGGTTTTCTGGTTCTGGGACCCAAATCAGTGCTTCTAGGCAATCCCAGCACATCTGTTGAGGCATTATCATCATCTCCTTCATCTGCATTTGTCCCAGTTGGTGTGGCAGGACTTTCTGGACCTGCTGGTTCTTCTGCTGCTTCTTCTGGAGAAACTGGAGTGTCCAAAATCTGAGGACCTTCCTCCCCATCTGAATCAACAAATGGATCTTCACTTCCTTCCCAAACCAGACTTGTCTGAGCTGGTGGAGTTTCAGATCTCCACTTCCAACCTTTACTTTCATCAAATATCACATCCATGCTCACCACAATCTTCCTGGTTTCTGGATCATAGAGCCTGTAAGCTTTGGATTCAGTGGAGATTCCCAGGAACTGGCATTGTATACTCTTGTCATCCAGCTTCTTCCTTAGCTTGTCAGACACATGTGCATATGCCACACAGCCAAAAACTCTTAAGTAAGAGACTGAAGGAGCAGCACCAGACCATAGTTCATGAGGAGTTTTTTCTTGATTAGCCACTGTAGGAATTCTGTTTAGGACATGAGTTGTCCAATTGACTGCTTCTGGCCAGAAACCTGCAGGTACTTGTGTGTCTTTCAACATGCATCTTACCATGTTCATGACTGTTCTATTCTTTCTCTCAGCCACCCCATTCTGCTGAGGTGTGAGTGCAGCAGTGAGCTGCCTTTTGATCCCAGTTTCAATACTAAATGACTGAAACTCACTTAACAGAAATTCTCCTCCCCTGTCTGTCCTAAGGCACATAATAGACAGACCAGTTTCCTTTTCCACAGTGACTTTGAATTTCTTAAACCATTCAAGAGCCTCAGACTTATTAGCCAGATAATGAACCCACAACTTCCTACTGTAATAATCAATCAGAGTGAATATATACCTTTTCCCACCATTTGAAGTTGGGGTGATAGGGCCACATAAATCTGCATGAATCAGCTGTAATTTTTGAGTTGCTCTCCACTGACTGTGCTTTGGGAAGGCTTGCCTGGTTTGCTTGCCAACCTGACAAGTAGCACAGACTCCAACAGCACCCTTTAAGTCTGGTAAGCGTGTAACCAGGCCTTTCTTCTTCACTTGCAGTAGCCCTTCTGGATTCAAGTGACCAAATCTCCTGTGCCAGAGACTCAGAGAGGATTCCTTGATATCATCAGCTTGCAGGTAATGAGCTTCCACCCTGTTGGATTCATCTTTAAGCACAAACATTCTGTTAGCTCTCATACTGGTTTCCAGCAGGAAACCCTTGTTTTCCATGAAGATTTTGCATACATTTCTTTTGACCAGGAACTCCAGGCCCTTCTCTTGTAACTGTCCCATGCTTAGCAAGTTTGTTTTTAAGCCTGGGACAAAAAACACATCACTGATCTGCAGTGACACACTTCCCAGTTGCAGTCTCACTTTCCCTTTGCCAGCAACCTCCAGTTTGCTGTCATTTCCCAGTCTCACTTTGCCAGTCACATTGGTGTCCAGATCACCAAACCACCTTTTATCTCCACTCATATGGTTGCTGCAACCAGAATCTAAAAACCACCAGTTCTCCATGCCTTCCATCTTGGAATCATCAAGGAAAGCCATGAGTAAAACATCATCACGAAGTTCAGTAGAGTGAGCAGAATAATGAGCCTGTTGATTGTTATACCATTCAGGACACTCACTTCTATAGTGCCCCATCTTATGACACTTAAAGCATTCAACATGCTCTTTATTCCAGCCTCTTCCTCCCGTACCTCGACCTCTTGGTGAAAAACCTCCTCTTCCTGCTCCTCTACCCCCTCTTCCTCCAGCTTCATATGTCATTCTCAAAGCCTGATCTTCCTCAACCAGAGGTTTCTTATGAAACTTCTGTTCATGCACCAGTAAGGAACTCTGCAGAGCATCCACAGAGAGAGTTTCTATGTCCTTGGACTCCTCAATTGAACACATAACATAGTTAAACTTCTCTGGTAATGTTCTTAAGATTTTCTCAACTATCTTAACATCAGGCATGTCTTCACCACAATTCCTCATATCATTTGCCACTACCATTACTCTACTGAAGTAAGCTGTAATGGTCTCACCTTCCTTCATCTCAAGAACTTCAAAAGTTCTTCTCAAACCCTGCAACTGAGCTTTCTGAACACGAGCATTACCCTGGTACTTAGTCTTCATAGCATCCCACAGCTGCTTTGCAGTAGCCTTGTTGGTGATGCTCTTCAAGATTGTTTTATCAATGGAACTGAACAGGTAATTTTTGGCTTTAAGATCTTTGAGCCTGAGATCCTCAAGACTTTTGGATTCACCAGCAGTCAATGGAGTTCCAGGGGCTGGCTCCTGAATGCCATCACTCACCACTCCCCAGTACTCCTTGGATCTCAGCAAGTTCTCCATCAAAAGACTCCAGTGATCATAGTCTCCATCAAACCTTGGAAACCCAACCTGTGCAAAGGCAGCATTATCACTCATGACTGCTATGAAAGAACCTCTCACCCTGAAAATAATTTCCTCACAATAATACCCTCGTGTTTCCCAATCCCAGATCCTGCAGATCACTCAAGTTTCACTCAACACTCAGAAAGCTTGAAAGCCTCTCAACACACAGCAATGGTTACAGCTTGCAAAGTGCTCTGATACCAAATGTAAAACACTTATGGATGCAATCTGACAAGTCTTTATTGATCCGAAAACAAGTACATATAGGGTTTGAGATTGACTCAACCTCTCAGACTGCTCTCCAACGTTCCACTAACCAGGAAACACGCTAACACTACTAACCACTTGAACTGATTAAGCTGGAAAAGCTCAACAGCTTTGACTCACTACCAATGACCAAACTGTAACAAAACAAAAAACAAAGACTGACTCTGCAATAGTGCACAACGCAGGATTGCTTATTAACTTAAACCAAACGGCGCCGTTTTCTCCAGCAGAAAGCAGCTTTCAAAATTGGCGCCAACTTCTTGAATCCGAGTGCAGCAAGGAATCCTTGATCAATCAGGATTTCTTCCAACAGAAACGAGGTAAGGGGAGAGAGAGAGAGAGGGATGGAATGGTGGTGTGTCATAGATCTCTTACTTGCTCTGCTTTGTGTGGGCTCTTTCAGGCAAGATACGTTCGAGGCAAAGAAGATTGTCCGACCGACGAATAAGCAGTTGCTTCCTTTCCGTCGGAGAAGAGATCATCGGAAGAAGAGGTACATCCTCCCAACCCCTATTTTGACTGTCGGTCAACCAAATTGTTCTTCTCATTTGACCTTCCATTCGATCGATCATTTGTACTATTTTACCCATCCTTCCAACCGGCGATTTGGCCTTGTTCACCGTCCGACGTACCGGGAATTTTTCGTCGTTATCCGTCCTTCCAACCGGCCATTTATACATGTTTCCCCGTCGGTCACAACGAGAAGTATTCCTCGTGTACCATCCTTCCAACCGACCATTTTTACTTGTTTCAGCGACCGGCGGATCACCATTTACACATCGTTTGACCGATGGTCAATCGATTGTTCTGTCTATTTTGACAAGCGACCAACCCCGTCAATCCCACCTAGCCCACCGTCCCCTTTTATCAATTAATTTTATATTTTAATTATTTTGTGCACTGATATTTTCCCGAGTTTATGAAGCTTGTCGTTGTACACGTGTGAGTCCAACGCTAATTAACTGATCCCCTAGATAGCCCAAGGGGGTGGTTCGGAGAACCGAGGGAGTTTGGGCTCAAAATGGCCCATATGTCATTTTGAATTTGGATACGTACTTATTTTGAAGATTAGTTGAATAGTTCTTGTTAAATTTTAGTATTTCAATTAATTTAATTGAACTTGAGTGTGTCGATTAAACGTTATACACCATTATAAAAATTGGTAGAAATTTTACTTGTTGTATTTAGAGTAGTTTAATATATATAGTTAAATTATTTTCAATATATATATATATATAGTTAAATTTAGTATTTCAATTGCGATATAATTACATTTCACAAATAAAGGACGTAATTCTTTTTTTCATGAAATTAAGATTACTACTAATTCAAAGAACACGAGATAAAATATTATTTGAACTTTATACGAACCTAATAAATGTTCACAAATACGTTTCCAAATCATATTCTAAATTTCTAATAGTAGCATTGTATGTTTTTGAAGATGTCGAGAATTGAAAAATCTGGAACCATTAAGGATCGAATTAAAAATCGAACTTGTAGACCTACGGCAACTGGGCGAAAAGAAAATGAAGATAAAAATCCTCGTAAGAATCGGGCGAGGCAGAACAAGCTACAAGTAGAGCGTACTGACGGTCATCCTACTCAAGGGCAGTTGTCTCTTAGTCGGAAAAGTCCCACACCTACATCTGATCGTGTTGATACTTGGGAGCCGAGGTGGGAGGACTCTATTTCGGATGATTGTATACCGATTGATGATGATGATGATGATGACGATGATCATGATCATGATGAGGCAGAGAAGCTCGCTCAGACTCAGGTTCAGAGTTACTTAGGAGCTCCGATTACTTCTACTTCCTCGACGACATGTCGGGGTCCTGATGGACGCTTTCGGGCAGCATCTAGTTCTCGGCAGTGTGGTAACTCTAAGAAGAGGAAGAAGAGAGCCAACAAAGACAAGTCTTGGCTTCTTACGAGAGAATCAGTAGTGATGTGTACGGGCGGACCGATGATTCCCAACGTGATCCCTAGTTTTGCTGGTCACGTGGCCCATGTGTTGTGGACTTCACCTGAGCAGGATCGTGGGGTGCTTGAGTGCTACCATCGGAGTGCAACATTGGACATGTTGAAGAAATACAAGTGGAGTGTAGAAGGTTCTCAGGCAATGGTTCAGGCCACGGGGTTGTCTCACTTGCTCGAGTGCACGATGCCTCATTTGGATTCTGCCCTTTTGACGCCCTTTGTGGAGAGGTGGCAGCCAGACACTAACACCTTCCACATGCCATTTGGGGAGATGTCGATACTTATCCACGATGTTCACTACATTCTTCGTCTTCCAATGGATGGAGCATTGTTGAGATATGACTCGCCGCAGCCGGAGGCTTTAAAGGCCGACATGTGTGGTCTTATTCGAGTTGGCGACTTGGAAGGGGCTGTTGGTGGTAAGTGGAGTACTATTTGGTATATGAATGGTGGCATGCATGGAGAGGGTGCTTTGTTTCGTGCTGGTGAGCTTCAGATTAAGGAGGTTGAGGTGCAGTGTTACTTGTTTCTGCTGCTAGGGTCCACATTGTTTGTGGACAAGAGTCGAGATCGCATTCGTCCTGCAGTCAACTTATATCTGAAGAAGTACCATGATGTGGCTGGGTACGCTTGGGGTGTTGGTACACTTGCCTATCTTTATAGACAGCTTGGTGTTGCTTCACGAGCTGGCGGTAAGGGAGTGTGTGGATATTTGACACTCTTGCAGGCTTGGATATATGAGTACTTCCCCGACTTTCGTCCTAATAGAGTGCAACAACATTCTCCAGAGGACCCTCGTGCTTCATTGTGGGTGTGTAGTCGTTTGAAGGGTAGAGATGTTGCAAAAGAACGTTTAGTACGCTACCGTAGCATATTGGATGGCATGTCTGCGGATGATGGAAACATGACACTAACAGTCTCGACCAATCCTCCTGCCTTGTCACTGACTATCGCATGTGGAGTGATAGATCCAAAAATGAATTGCAAGTGCCTCAAAATCCACTCGTAGGACTCCTTTGTCTCATCGTACACTAAAACAGATGCAATGACGAAGTTCAGGCCCACCGGTGTCATGCCAACAATCTCAACCCACGGATACTCATACTTATTGGTCTTGTATGTTGCATCTATCACAATGACATGGTGCCAAGCTCGTAACATTTCAATCGAAACAGGATGCGCTAGAAACAAATGGGTAAGCAAGTTACCTTCCTCCATATAATGTACATAATAGTTCTTCTTTCGAGCATCGTGAAAGGTGAACTGCAAGGCTGTCATCTCACCAAGACCATCTTTCCTTATCTTTTGCAAAGCATTGTAAATTTGCTTTTTGGTGCGGTGACCTTCTTCTCCTTTTCTCTCGTTCACTGTCTCTAAAATATTTCTTGCTGGTACACGAGATGACTTAAGCTCTCGAATTAATTCCTTATCTTCCGGGGTGAGAACATTCCCTTTCCGTGCCCCCTCTCGAAAAAGCTCCTACGGATGATTGTGGAAACCACTATATTGACTCGGATTGTTCATGTTGGTCACTCCCATAATCAACCAACTCACTTCATTTTTTGGCCGCTCAATCTTGATCTGGAACTGGCATCCGGTCTTATTCGAAGAAGTAAGTTCTCGCTTTTTAACTGTCGGATCAGAAGGGTTGGACTTTCTCTTCTTACCATGAGTGCAAGTCAAATAAAATCGCTGACTATTTTCGTTTGGATTTTTTTTGTTCGACGTCCGCACTAAATAGAACCCTAAACCCTTGGCTATTTCACATGCTGCTTTATAGGCTTCTATCTCTGAATCGTATTTCACCCCTTTAACGAATGTCAGTGTATAATCAAAAGGACCCGAATGGGAACTTCTATCAATTTCCTAAAATATGTATAAAAAATAAAATTCATTCAACCTAACATAACATTTATTCAACCTAAAACTCCCTATGCAATTTATATTAACATAAAAGATTAGTAAATAATTTGTAACAAATAAAGTCCATTCACCTTAACATGTAACAGTAACATTCATACTAGAAACCACCCTATGTTCAATTAAATTGCTTAAATAGATTGCAACAAATCAAGTTCATTTCATAACGAAAATTCGTACTGAAATAATTTAGTTCATAACATAAATACCTCATCGGAGTCGCTATCACTATTCATGGCAAGTATAGGACGACAGAGCGGAACTGGATCAACGAATATCCTGAAATTAAATTAATAATAAATAATCAATTTAAATTATCACACTTAAAATAAATGAATCATTTAAAATTGTAACATTTAACTACTTATTTATAAGTCTAATATGTATTGTTACATGTTTCTTCATAACTATTTTAAATTTATAAATGTCTTATTACATTAAATATTTTTTCAATAACAATGTATAATGTGCACATAATCATAATTAAACAAAATCCTATGGGCTCAAACGCAGGTTCTGTCAAAGTGTCATAGAAGATTCACTTGGAGGTCCGGTGCTACGGGAGTGTCGTCAGCTTTTAGACTCTTTGTTAGTTTGTTTAGAGTTTAGGGCGGTTCCAAGAGCCGCCAACAGTGCTGCCCATAGAGTGGCGCCTAAAGCACTGCTTAGAGTCTTTTGACTTTTTTGGATGGGTTCACTAGGGTGTTGCTTGTAGGGGATTCCTGGGTAGTTTTGTCTGTATAACTCTTGTCTTCTCTTGATATCACTCGGATAAAAAAAAAAAAAAAACGCAGGTAAGAAAATGGATTCAAATTCTGAAATTATAAATTTATTACTAATGGTTATATGGGCTCCGCCCATCCACTGATTATATGGGCTCAAACACAGGAAAAAAAAGAGTGAATATGGTAGTTAAACGCACACAAAGTTTAGTTCGGCCACGGAGAGAAAAAGAAGTTTGACCGACGTTGGACCATACAACTAACGAAAAAATGGCTATGTCTTACATGGGCTCAAACGCAGGCAAAAAAAGAGTGAATATGATAGTTAAATGCAGACAAATTTTCGTTCGGCCACGGAGAGAAAAAGAAGTTTGACCGACGATGGACCATAGAACAAACGAAAAAATGGCTATGTCTTACCAATGGCCGGCGATCTGGGACGTCTAGGGCGGGAGGAAGAAGGTGCAGGAGTGGCGCCGTCGTCGAGCTGCTTCTCCGGCAACAAGTGCAGTGAGGCGAAAGGGAATGGGCTTTCTCCAGATCTCCGTCTTCTCCGAAAACGCAGGGGCAGAGGTGATGGCAGCTGGCCGGGAAGGCTGTGGCGGGAGGAACAGAGACAGAGGTCGGCGGTGAGAAACAGAAGGCCTGTGCAAGGGGAGAAACAGAGACCGGCAAGGAGAGACAGAGGTCGACGATGGCCATCGAGCTGGGACGACTACGACGGGAGGAAGAATGAGTGCAGGAGTGGCGTCGACGTCGAGCTTCTTCTCCGGCAACAAGTGCGGTGCGGCGAACGGGAATGCACCTTCTCCGGATCTCCGTCTTCTCCAACAATGCAAACCCACCAGTGAGGCAGAGGTCGACGAGATTGGAGCTTGGGGAGCAGGTGAGAGAGAAGAGTGAAGGGCAGTTTGTCGGCTTGGGCAGTTTGTCGATTTGCAGGGGCGATGTAGGACAAGTCGATATGCAGGGGACAAGGGTGATGTAGGAGAGAGGGGACTTGTGACTTGGTCTCTGGGAGAGTGTAGTGAGATGGAAGAGAGATATGTTTGGACTCTAGTACATAATTTGAAATTGATAATTGGACAAATAGGTAAATTAATATAATTTAGGACGATAGAAAGTAATTTTAAGGACGTCATTTAGCAATTCCCTAATAAATGAAAGCTACTTCCTTACTCAATTTTTGCTCCTTCAAATTTAACGTGTTATATAAATATACTGTCTTAATTAGAAGTTTTTTTTTGTCAAAAGATAATCTTATATTAAAGAAACAAATAGATCATTACACCCTGGATCTCAGCCAGGCCTGATAATCAAACCTACGACTCATAGCCGGGCACAAAGAGAGGGCCTTTCTAGCCACCAAATGGGCTACCCTATTACTACGCCGACCTATGAAACGAACACTAAACCCAGGATTCCTAATAAAATACTGAAGCACTTCTTCAAGCACAGCACCACCCTTGCTATCACGAGAGTCCCCCCGCCGGATTTTGTCAATGATAACCTAGGCATCACCTTCAAATCGCACGCTGTCCAGCCCCTGGCTCAAGCACCACCGGATCGCCTCCCGCAGATAAAGAACCACAGCCACCATAGGATCCATATCCGGGAACTGAAACCCAAAAGCCCCAAGGACAACCCGATCTGGGGCCATAAGCACCACCCCTCCCGCAGAATGGGAACCCCTACGAGTAGCCCCATCCCACCCACAGATAACCCTAGCTGGCTCGCCCTGGTCAGACTGGCTCTCAATGGGGGCAGGGGCCCGGACAGGCCTATTCACCGGCATTCTGACCCATTCCTCATACTGCTGCCTAAACTGGCGCTTTAAGGCAGGCACACCATACTGTTTTCCCTCAAAAACCAACCAATTGCAAGACCGCCAAATTCTCCACAGAATGGTCACTACTGCCATAAACAGAGAAGGCTGGTCAAGTAAAGCCAACAGTTTTTTCAGAAAAAATGGAAAAGTATGTCTAGGCAGCCCCTCCCCGATGTGTTCCAGCCCGGCCGCCCCCCAAAGGTTACGCGCCACCCGACAATCCAGGAACAAATGCTCCAAATTTTCCGTACTATCCCAACAGACTGGACAACGGGGGTGAACAAGGACCTTCCGATTAATTAGGACTTCTGAAGTGGGAAGGATCCGATTGAAAATCTGCCAAACAAACACTTTCAATTTCGGTGGGATGTTGGCATGCTACAGCCGAATCCAACTCTCCCGATCCATCCATCCAACCGTATCTTTCCAATGACCCTTTCTCATATCCAAGGAGACAGCCAAATGGTAGGCTGATTTCACCGAGAAACCCCCATCCGCCGTATCATACCAAATCAGTCTGTCTTCCACATTCTCCCGCGGAAGGGGGATGGTCTTAATAACTTGACATGTACCCGGATCAAACCATTGGCTGAGCTTTAAGTCACACCAGCGGCCCTCTCCCTGAACTATCAACTCAGCGACCGGAGGGTCCCCCCTTCCGGTAAAACCCTCGGGTTATAACGAATGGGCTCAAACTGGTACTGAGGAACCCAAGTAGAGCAAAGCATGGAAGCTGAACGGCCATTCCCAATTTTCCACCGCAGGCCCATCTCTAACAACCGCCGACCATGGAGGATACTCTGCCAACCCCAGGACGGACGAGATCGAGCCGTAGCACTTAGGAAATGGCCATTTGGGAAGTACTTCCCTTTATAAACCTTGGCAAGAAGGGAATGAGGCTCACAGAGTATGCGTCATCCAATCTTTGCTAAAAGAGCTTGATTAAAATGCTCAAACCTTCGAAACCCCATCCCCCCATCATGCTTGCTTCTACACATGTCCCGCCAGGACATCCACCGAACCTTTGAGTGATTCTCTGTAACACCCCACCAAAACCGGGCAACATGCCTATCCAAAAGTCGACACAGAGATAACGGCAACTTAAAACAAGACATCACATGCAAAGGCAATGCCAAAGCTATTCATTTGATAAGAACTTCCTTAGCTGCCCACGACAAAGTTCTCTGCTTCCACCCCTGGAGCCTCTCTAATAACTTCTCTTCCAAATACCGAAAGGTCTCCATTTTAGATCTGGCAATCAGCGTTGGGAGTCCCAGATACTTATCATGGACCCCCACAGCCCCAACACCCAAAACCTCAGCTAAGAACGCCTGATCTGGCTGAGTAATGTTCTTGCTGAAACAAACTGCTGACTTCGCCAAATTAACACGTTGGCCACTCAGCTCCTCATACTCCTTTAAGACCTCCATTAAATTTTCACATTCCTGGAGCGTGCCACGCAAAAAAAGATACGAATCATCCGCAAAAAAGAGGTGCGATATTCGAGGAGCCCACGGTGCAACCCTTACCCCTTCCAGC